AATATATATTTAACAAAGTGTCAAAATTGTCTATGCAGTGTTTTCCTACGTATATACTGTTGATGAATTCTGATTTTTATTAGTTTTATTAAAATGTGCAAAGGTTGGAGCAGGAAGACTAACTGGAACAGTTCCAATTACTCTTGTACTGTACATTTAGCTTGTGAAATTGGTTTCAGGAGATTCTTTTGGATATCTAAAGTAAAAGCTAGAATGAAAGAAACACTCAGGCTAAAGCTATGCATGTTGGACTCTATATGTGCTTGCCACACTAAAGGAACATTATTATTCAATGAGAATCATGCATGCTCATGAGCTCTTCTGATGTGTTAGGCATTATAATGAAGATAGTTTAAGACGGCTGTTATAATGCGGTAGAAGATTTGCACTGAAGCTAAATATAAACCCACACAAACAATACAAAGAATGTAAAGAATGACATTATATTATTAGGTAAATCAACCTGATATAGGTTCATTTAAACGTCCTAAAGAAAAAAGAATTATTTAATAAGGGTGTTTTTATCTTTTTTTTTTCATAGCTTTAAGCTGTAATGATCATCACACTGATATGGAGTTGATGTACCATATCGCCTTCCTCCTTATTTCACTGCCAGTTTTATGCATGCATCTCTGAATTTTGCCCTGTGAGAATGTTCAGAAAATCTGTATTACGTACCAGCATTCCTCCTAATGATTTAATGATTCTTAGACATACGGAGCAAAATCAGCACAGCTCTTTGTTCTTCAAGGAAAGAAACTTAGAATATTTTTTATCTTTAGGGATTGCATATATAGAGTACTGTAAAACATATTAAAAAAGAACAAACCTGTCTTGAACAGAGTCATTGGATTCATCAGCTCTTACTGACATCCTAAAGCCAATAGTTTCACTTGATAATGCAACTGGCTTATTTGGGAAACCACATCAAGTTATCCTTATTAATATATATATTCTCATGTCTTTTATTATCAGTCTGTGTAACTCACATGTCAAGAGGATAACCTATGTTTACTTTGCTTGAAGGCCAATACATTTGAAGCAAAATCCTTTAGAAGTTGAAGTAAGATAAGTTCAAGTATACAATTGACAGCCCTTTTAAGAAAGCCCATCTGCATTCACCTCAGCATGTTTAAAAAAATCAAAAGTGCTGTGAGGAACTTCTAAGTATTCTGATTATGGGATCAGAGATATACTATACAGGGTTATACAAATTCCCTTCTCAAACATATATTTGTCTTAAAGACACAGCTTGACAAATAAAGTACTATGATTTCTTGTCTCAAAAAGATAAACTATGAACAGAACAGGGGTCAGTTTCACGAAGCAGGTTAACCGCAAACTGATTTTTATCAAGAAGTATAGTATTTTGGGAAATATGATACCAATGGAACATTAGAGAGGAGAGTGCTTATAATAAATGGCCTGCCATAGTTCACTTCATATAAACTTACATATTAACTTGAGTAACAATCTTATCCTTTGCCGTCTTCTTCTTCTTTGCAGTTGTAGCACTGTTTCTCTTAAACACATCTTTTTTACTTTTTCATTTCTGCATCTAGTCCCAGTGGGGTGAAATAGGTTCTTCCTTTTGCCTCTTGTCATGGTGCAATCGATTCTCCACTCATAATGGCTTTTCATACTTGTTACGCATGTGCTAAACTCTGAGTGGTTCTACTTGGAGAACTAATTCATAGCAGCTGTTGTGAAACCAAAAACTCACAGTTCCAACTTTAGGCTAGATCAATTTAGAGTTGCAGAGTTGAATCAGAGTTTGTTAAATCTGCTTTGTGAAACGGACCCCAGCGCCAGTGGTCTTGCTCCATGTTTGGATTTTTGTGTCTGTTAACGTTTAACTTGGATATGAGATACTACTTCAAGGTGAAAGCATGTCATGTTGGTGTTTTTGTAAGACCAAAGATTTCTTCTGGGCCTAAGGAAGAGATTCAGGAAGGAATTAGGAAGAGGAAGTTGTTTGCAGAAGAATAAAAGTTTAAGAACTCATGTTCATTGGTAATAAGGGTACTTTCTTACCATTTATAGAGATAATCATGATCTAAGAACCCAGAGAGACTGAATTTGGTACATTGTGTTGAGCAGTGAAGAGAGCTAACGCTTCTTTGTTTGTTTACCAGAAGGAGATAGGGATGTTGGTGGAATGTTGGAGGGTGGATGGGGAGTGGTATTGGTTGATAAAGGATGAGTACTGACTTTGGATCCAGGGGAGCAGATTCCTAGGAAACTTGTTTTCCCAGGATTATACTGTGGGTAGAGACCCTTCATAGAGTCAACAAGTAGGTAAGCAAAAAAGACATATGAAGATCACAGGCAGATAGGAGGCCTGATTACTCCCTCGGGGGAATATTCTCTGCTTAAGCTCGCTCTGATTGGCCTTGATGGGCTGCAGCTGTACAAAATCACCTGTAGGTAACACATAAGCGGTAGATCAGACAGAAGCTTTGTTTGGGCTCAAATAGATCTCATTTATCACTGCATAATAAAATCTAGCAGGCCATTTGATGGGGGCAGGAGTGAAGATAATCTTTGGAGATAAAAAGGTAGAACCGAAGGTCAGTTTACCCTACAGATATAAACTAAAATTAAACCTATTTAATGATTTCAAGAACAAAAAGGATAATCTTGAGCTTATTTCATAATTCTTGTTTGATATTTTTAGAACATCTGTGCCACAAGCACTTAAAACCAGTTTGTTTGGGTTAAAAGCTCACAGAGGACTAACTTGGATAGAGAGTGTGATGGAAGAAAGAACAGAAGAAGGAATGGAGCCGAAGCAAAGACCTTGTTTTAACAGGCTTATCTCTCTCCATAATTCAGTTTGGGCCATCAAAGTGCTGAGAGCTGGTGTAGCTAGGGGCGGTCGTATTTTTTGACCGCTACTTGTGACAGCAATTACAGGTTTCACTTCAAGTGTGCCTTTGTTTTTGTGGCAGACTTGACTTGCTCGGCTGGAATGAGATTACCTCTCTGCTCGGCAACTGGAGCATAATCAAAGCCTCCTGATGCGAGGTGTCATACCCCTTAGAATCAACTTAACGGTATCTCCTACTCCTCTCTCCTTCATTCCAGGGTTTTGTGTTGACATTATTATTGTAAGAGAGCTGTTGCCTTAATGTATTGGTATACATCATAGTAAAAATGTTCCTTTCCCTGCTGCCACAGACAAAACAGAAATGAGCTTTGAATTTGCAAATTAAGGCATATGAAGAATTTATTTGCTGGGAAAACTCCATGAATAGCAAATTCGCATTAAATGAAGCATGTATATATGCCGTGCGGCATCTGCATAACTGCATAGCTTTAATGACAGCATGATTAGGTGTCCACAAGCAAGCTGTTCTTCTACTTTGAGTGGGTTTGCTTCTTGCAAATGCAGAGTTGAATGCAGAATAATATGGGTGCATTTTAAAGATTAAAAATATTCCATCTTGTATCCCCTTATACACACAGCAGGAGGTCAACATTTAAGAGAGAACCCATAATCTTCCGTCTTCAATAACAGACAGTGGTCCTCTGATGCATTGCTAAAACTTTATATATGGAAAATGAAAACTTAACTTATTGTGAACAGTTTGATGGTTCCATTGTTCAGTGCATTATGCCAATACCTGAAAAAGATGAGTTCATCAAATATTAGTATCTGCTTACATAAGTCCTTTCTTACTTTTTTTTTGTTTTTGCTTTTATGTGTGTGTGAACATGGCGTAGAATGTTTTGGCTCATGACCAGGCCTATTAGTTTGATGCATTGTTGTCCCAGAATTTATTCAGCATATTCAGCAAAAGAAAAACAGAATCTGTTTCCTTTTGTTTCTCTCGCACCTCTCTCTGTCTGTGCCTCTAAATTTTCCCACTGTATTTGTCACAGCTAGTTTTTCATCTTGTGTTGGTGGCAAATTTGTGCGGCTCTAAAGGGTCTGATAGGTTAGACAGCTTTACAGTGGCATTTGTGCTATCAACATCACCAAGTTGTCCTATTAATTATTTAGGATATGTCATATGACGTTTATAAAAAAATAGCCCCTCATCAGAGACACCATGACAACTACATCATTATTTCTAGAGTTTTTAGTCATCGGAATGGTAAATTTTTCACTATGCAAGTATGGACAGTTGAATATTGCACTATATAAAAGAAATAACCTTTTCATGTGATGTACTGAGATGTCCTAAAAAGGAAGGAATATTTTGTCACATAGAAATGTACATAACTAAATCACTTTACAATTGATCTTAGTCACAAAAAATACATAAATGCCACACATTTACAACTGCCTTCGATACAAGAATAAGTGTTGCTATAAAAGGCTACAGTTGTCCAGTATAGGAAATTAACCACTAATGTTGATGTTAGCAGTCATTTTTGTTTTGCTGATATATTTCAGGGGAATTGTTATGTATATTATGCATAATACATTTGCAATTATTTAATTCAACATAGTAGGAAGACTATTTGGGCTTTGGTACTAAGAATGTAGCAAGTTCTTGTACATGTTAAGCATTTTATACAGTTTAATTCTTAGACTAGCTTTGATACATTATTTTATGTTGAAACAACCATTAGTGAAAAGTTTAATTTAATCTACAAAACAGACGTTTTTACAAGGCTAAGAAACTTTGGATGGTAAATTGTTTGTAGCAAATGAGACCCCATTAAAAATTAACCCAGATGGTGTAGCGTGGGTCTGAGAAGTTGCTGCTGCATGCAGTTTCTGTTTTGCTTAGGCCAGGCTGTGGACTTAGCCTTGTTGTTCAATATTGTGTGAATAATTGAAACTGACTTGAACTGCACCAAATGTCTTTACTCTGTGGGTATACAGATGACATTGAAGGGAAGTAAAAAGATGCTGACTGTATTGTTAGACTTGCACACATCAGACCGCATTTTAACTTGTTGAAGTTTTCCAGCTTTGAAATTCATCATTCTTTTTTTTCCTTTCCCTTCTCTTTTTCTTTTTTTTCTGTACCCTTTGCTTCTCCTAGGTGGATCTGCTTGTGCCTACCAAGGTTACAGGGATCATCACACAGGGAGCTAAAGACTTTGGCCACGTCCAGTTTGTTGGCTCATACAAAGTAGCTTACAGTAACGATGGAGAGCGGTGGAATGTGTATCAAGATCAGAAACAGGGAAAAGACAAGGTAAGTTGTGTTTTTTCCTCTGCATATGAATGACCATTATGTGTCTTCATCAACACACCCTGACTGTCAGCACCAAAAGGAAGAAAGAAAACCTAATGGAGTATTATGGCTGTAGGTACTCTGAGAACAGTTGATTTGAAATATTTATAACAGAAGTACAAACAAGAAAGTCTTCAGTTGATATTGTTAGCAGCCTGAAACCATAGCATGAAGAGATACATTTGGCATGAAAAATTCTTAATAAAAAACTTAAAGAAGAGGCATTAGCCGTGAGGATATCTATTTGGGAAGCTATCTCCTTTTCTTCACTACACTTTTGCATCCTCTTATCTTTGGATTGAACAGAACATCTCTGGTCTGTCCTCTGATAGGCTTGGGATTAGATAAGACCCTGCTGTCAGCCTAGCTGAGACAGTACTATTCTCACAGACCTGTTCACGGTCCTTCAGAAGAGTTCATGTCTATCTCAGTCATCTGCATAAACAGAGAGCTGCAGCAGCCTCTCTACTAATATCCTGAAACGTGCAGTCTACTGAACCTCCAGCTTGTTGTCTTTGCACATTGGCAGGAGGTTATGTGTGTATCTGCGTTATTAAATGATTTAATTATTTTTGATCTTGATGCAATGCCTGCAGGGATTAAAGCTCAAAATATGCACGCTTAAATGTAATTACATTATATTTTATTAGTTTGAGTTATTTAAAGTGTAATTGCAGTTTACTTTTCAAACATTCGCACTGCTAAATTTTCATATCTTAGAATATTAGTTATTTTGTTAGATTTGGAAACTAATAGAGGAATAGTGCTGCAGAGTATTCTAAATCATAATCATCATCCAAGTATCAATATGTGCAATATCACAAGTGCCAAAGACAGCTTGAGAGCTATATTTGGTAGGCTAAATAATTTCTGGTGTCAAAAACACTCTGCAAAATCTCCTTTTGATGAACACGCACATGTTTACTTTACATCTGCCATCCCGTCATCACACTCTCCATCTCTCTTATGCAAAAACACAAAGTGTTAACGGTGAAACTCGAATTGGAGAAATGCAGACAGACCCATACCTGAACATTCCATATTTAGTGTAATAACAAAGCCAATGGAGGAGCTGCCATGGAGTGAACTGAATGCATGTCTTACTTTGTTGCTGCACTTTCTATCCATTTTCAGTTCACTTAATCCACTCTCTCCTGATTACTGACATGCCAGCTGCAGGTGTAGTGACCGGTAGTTCTGTCATCAGCATATAAAAATGTAATTTATAATTGCAGAGTTACTTAATACATTATGATGTAACATAATTAAATAGATAGCACAAAAAATTGAGTCATTTTACTGCAGTGAAAAATTAATAAATAATTACTGATTAACTGACTCCTGCGTCAAGTATGGAGCACTCCTAAGATTTGTTCATACCTGACAGAAGATTAGAAATTAGAGGAAAATGTTGAATGTGACATTTTCTCCTAAATCATTCATATGAATGATTTAAGAACAATACGCTGGTGAAGAGTCTCAGTCATCCGTATTATATAAATTCCAAACTCATTCCAAGAGCCACAGGCTAACAAAGAACCCAACGACTCCCCATTCCTAAGGGACATAATCTTCTTCAGACATGTTTACAGTATCCGGTTCAATTAGCATGTTTTCCAAGCCAAAACAAGGTGTTGTTTAAGTCCACTCTGTGAAGCCTTGAACTCAACGCCGATTCTGACATTTTGAACTGAAAACATCTTCAAACTTGGAAACAAAGTCCAGTGGATTGCTTTTTTAACATTTTTGAAATTATTTAAGACAAATTTGTCTATATAAATGGTTTTTGCATGTGGCCCATTGCCTCTATATTTATGTTACCTAATTCTATGGCCACAAGATTTGGATCATAACCAAAAGAGCAACATTGTTGCTCATTCACCTAAAAAGTAGTCAACTGAGGTAGTTCGGCTTGCTGATAAGGGTGCCTGTTGGACAGTACTTTATGCAATGATGGAATGATTTATTTACATGCAGAAAGTAGAATTTCTCAATGAGTGACAAATTTCTGATGATTCCTGCATGCACATAAAGCTAAATATAAAAACGTATTTTCCATGTCGATCAATTTAAGGTTCAATATTTAACTATTTGAAGCTGAAAGTATGATACTTAGAGTATCTCTCTCTATAATGGGACATGTATGTTTACCAAGACATCTGAGAGCCAAGTGGCTGTTTAACTGTATGATTTCTGAAGATGTTTTCTTCTGTCAGTCAGCTAAAGCAGCCATTAATGCTGGAGGACACATTTTTCTGTTGGCCTCCGGAGGCTCCTCCTGGCACTACACAATGCTTGACTTGGCAGGAATATACAGTACTGGCCTCGCACGTGTGCCTGTGTGTGTGGCTTAGTGTCTAGCTCCAGCACACCGGTGTAGGCTTGTAAGTATTCTTCTCAGCTTTTCCCTTCGGCTCCTGTGTGGCAGAGGCTGCAGGCAGTTAGATCTAGATTGAGAGAGGAGGCTCTGTCGGAATACAGATGTTGTCAAAGCAGGCCTCAGCAGCACACACACACAACGTCCCTCTGCAAAATCTATAGAGTTGCATGTTATCCATCTCTATGCAAATAAATCAAATAAAGCCACACTTGTAGCCGAGACAGGTAACAGCTCTGTCCACTATTTAAACATTGCAAAATTATGCTATGTACTGTCCGTAAACTTCCTAAACTTAGTTTAATGTATTCACTACAGTAGAATTGCAATGGTGCTCTTTTATGACTGGACTTGGATAGCTTGACAATGGAAACAACCAAGGAAAAAAAGTAACTGAATTGTGTTAAACAGTGTTTCATGGGTGGCATTAGGGTTAATTAGCCATTAGAGCCATCAGTTTCCTCCAGGTTAGAGGGTAACTATGAATAAAATTACGCAATTATGCTCCGATGGTTATATTTGGGTTCCAATGATCCTAAGCCTCAGTACATGTCAAAACAAAACACTTAAGAGGCACTTGCATGTGTGTTTGATGAATGAAACACTTGGCCTAGATGGCAGGCAACTGTTGATGAAATTGAGTTTGTTACACCATAGACATGTCAGGCAGAAACAGACTAGAGGGTAAAACGATTGGGAGAATCTGATCCCTTGACCTCACCAAGGGTTTAAATAATGGAGTGTTGGTTCTACTGTTTTCATCCCAGAAGTGTACAAAGCCTGTTCTTCATTCTGTGATTCAGACTGTATGAGCTAGGAAAATCAGGAGCCGGAAGTGCACATCTCTCGACAGTTTAGAAAAGGACCTCATTTAGGTCACATTTTAGTGATCTGGAGGTTTTACTGCTGACAAGCCATTGATATGTCCTTTATGCAAAAGATTGCACCTTACAGTCATGGTAGTGCTCCAGCATGTGACTCATTTTTCACTTAACTCCATCAAAGACTGAACAATTATGCTTTTGACTACTATGTTCTAAATGTAACAAGTGTGCATGTAACAAGTGTGCATATGTTTCACACAGAGAAGACTAAGGCACTAGTTTCCTGTCATCTCTGGCAATATTGCATTATTTGTAAGGTTTTAACAGGAGTTGGAAAGGAAAAGAAATATGTGCTGAAACCTGATTTGCTTTAAGAATAAGATTACTTGGGTACTCCGGCTTCCTCCCACAGTCCAAAAACATGACTGTTAGGTTGATTGGCTTCTCTAAATTGTTTAGTGTGTGTCTGGTGACCTGTCCAGGGTGTACCCTGCCCCACTTGGGACAAGCGTGTAAGAAGATGGATGGTTTACTGTCAGTGGATGATTTAATGGGGGGGATTTAAAGGGATAGTTCGGTATTTTTGACATGAATCTGTATGGCATCCCCATCACCAGTGTCATGCAATCACACTGACTTACCCCTGGCAGCGTCCTGTGAGCAGAGATCTCGTCCAGTTTTGGTCAAGCCAAAAGTAGTCCGGCAGGTTTGCTAGACCCAGCGAAATAAAACGTTTCTCTTCCCAAAACATTATGTGTTCAAAAGAGTGATATTTTTGCATCCCAAAAACGTTGCAGTGGAAAAAGTCACACGTCGTTATCACTTGGTCCTATTTTCTCTCTGTTCGTATCAGTGCGCGCAGTCATTCAGACAGCTAGGGCCTACTAACCTGACAACAGCCAGATGCATGTCTCCCTCCGCCCAGCTAGGAGCTAGGCGGAGGGAGACATGCATCTGGCTGTTGTTGAGCTCGCTGTCTAAATGACGGCGCGCACTGATACGAACAGAGAGAAAATAGGACCAAGTGATAACGACGTGTGACTTTTTCCACTACAACGTTTTTGGGATGCAAAAATATCACTCTTTTGAACACATAATGTTTTGGGAAGAGAAACGTTTTATTTCGCTGGGTCTAGCAAACCTGCCGGACTACTTTCGGCTTGACCAAAACTGGACGAGAACTCTGCTCACAGGATGCTGCCAGGGGTAAGTCAGTGTGATTGCATGACACTGGTGATGGGGATGCCATACAGATTCATGTCAAAAATACCGAACTATCCCTTTAAACTCAAAATGTAAGTTATTACAGGGGATGGTAATCTGAATTTAAAATAACATTTTACAGATAATCTGAACTTAAAATAATAAGTTTTTACAGACTTGAAAGTTCCAGTAACTTGAATTAAAAAAACTTAGTTGGCAGAACTTGAAAAACTTAGCTGACACAACTTAATAACTTAAAAAATAAAGTTGATGCCTTCAACTCAAAAATTCTGTGCAGCCGGTTGCCTTGAAATTTTGAGTTGAACTAACTTTTTCGTTTTTACAGTGTAGCAAGTATGATCCTCCAGTTGAGCATCTAGGTCTGTTACTTCTGCACCACCAGGCACTAAATGCACATTGTTTAGTGTGCCGCACAATGGCTTTGATGCTGCTCGTCCTACTGCCTGCCTGCTCAGAACAGTTCGGTGTTTCAGCTCAGTGTCACATAAAATAGTTTGATGTGAAGACTAATTGCTTTTTCCTGAATTTTTTATGGTGATCTGCAACAGTACAGCGGTTTTGTAATGGGACTCGGTCCCAACAAGTCACACAAGCATCATTATTCAAATGGCTAAAAACAAAACCCATATAAAACAACAGACCCCCAGCAACCAGGAGAACAGCGGATGGGTAATTGCTTTGCATCTGACTTGGAATGTGCTGAGCAGGATGTCCTCCAGGTGCTTAATAACATCAATGCCCCAACTCCAGGTTGGTGTATTGTGGGCCGACAGAATTCCCGATGACTCCCGGATAAGGGTCGAAATGTTTTCAGAAAAGGGGAGTGAAAGTCTGATTGCCTCTGATTTAAAGTTGTTTAGTGACTTATTATGGAGAGAAGTAACCCAATCTAATCTAGCAATGAGAAAGTTTGCATTAAAAGCAGTCAGACTTTCTACAAAAATTGGGAGTTGGTTCTATAATAGAGGCAGCTGATATCTGCCTCCTATTTTTATACTGGAGATTAAACCCCCTGGTAAACCAGGGATTTTGATAATACAGTATAAGTATTTAACATAAAATATAGGTTTGGTTTACCACAGCTATTCATAAGTTTAATTTTGTATTCAATTGGGATCTAGTAGAGATAATATCAAATGTAAGAGCTATAATCTCCACTTTTAACTGTTATCAGCTCTCTTGCAGCAGTTTAAATCCACCAAAACAAATTATTTTTGTTTCCCGATGACAAAAATTTACACCAGATTAGTCTTTACTGTGAGTAATAATAAAATGTAAATAGTAAAATGTTATCATTTGATTTTCAGAACATAATTCATATTTTCAAATGTTGAAAGAGTGAAAACTCTGATCTGAGTGAATGACTGAGGATATACTATAAATATGTATTTTTGTACCTTCAGAAAAGGAACACTGTACCGTTTTTCAACATAGAAATAATTTTAACAAAACATCTGTGTTAATGCAACAGTATATACTATACTTTTTTAATTGCCACCTTCATATAATTCCCTTCTGTAGGGAATGAGCTAAAGCAGCTACAGGATTCATACAATTCTCCCCTGTAGGGAATTGTATGAATCCTTTAGGAATTTTGTCTCAGCTTATAATTCACCTTAACTCATCTAGCTTCTTTTGACAGCTTAAATACGATTTTGGATTTTTGTTGTTCTTTTTGTAGTTGGACTGTTGAAGTGCAAGATGTGTTTCACACTTTGTGAATATTCTCTCCAACCACACAGAATCTGAATCACTGTTCTGCCAAGTTCCTCTTGCTCTTATGAATATTTGAAAGGGAATTAGCCTAAAATGAAGTCAAAATATGTAAATCCCAGTTTTCGGCACCTGTTTGGATTTATCCCACCGCTTTTCTATTCCACACTAGACTGAATCCTATTTCATCCCAATTACACAGGCATAATGATAAGTGTTAAATTGACATTATCAGATTCTTGAAGGAAGCACCCTGTGCAGATGCATTTACTTAGAATTTATTTCATCCAGCTGTCATTAAGCACATTTTAAAGCTCCTAATAATGATCAAAAGAGCTTGTTTCCCTGTGTGATGATCCAATATGGAAATGGTCAAACCTTAAAATGTTGCTTTAGGCACATTTAACATCCAACAAGATGACATTCTTGGATTTAGTTAGACTTGTATACATAGAGTGATATTAAACTGATGAAACAGTACATTATCAAAGTGTACTATGTACTGAGTACTTTATGCTTAGTTGGAGATCTGCTGAATCAGATGCAGAGCTGAATCTACTGTCTATCATCTTCTTGTAAAGAAGTAAATACTTTTACTATTACTAATACTATTTCTTTTTTTATATCAGCAATTTCCAATATAAGCTGTCAGATATTTAGGGGCAAATTTTTGAAGCCTATATTGCTTTTTTTTCCTCCATCCATCCATCTTTTAACGTTATGCTGTCCGTGTCATGGTGTTGCCTATCTTCGGCAGTCCATGGGTGAAAGCAATGGTATACCATGGACAGCTTACATGTCTGTCGCAGGACAACACAGAGACACACAACCATGCACACACACACAAACACCTAAGGGTAAGAGAGGCCAATTAACCTAACGGTCATGTGTTTGGACTATGGGATGAAGCTGGAGAGAACCCATGCAGAACAGGGTGAACATGCAAACTCCATGCAGAAAGACCCCAGGATGGGAATCAAACCTCAAACCTTCTTGCTAAGGCAACAGTTCTACCCCCTGCACCACCGTGTCTCCTGCTTTTTCTTCTCTTAATTTCCTAATAAATAGTAATACAATTATAAAAAAAAAATGTTACACAAGTCTCAGCTGAAACAAAAAAGGAGCAAAAGGATAGCAAACTGGCAGAACAGCAATGTATGACCTTCATTTGATCTCAAGGCATGGCTGATGAATACAATAATAAATTGGCAAAGGCATTCATATATGGGCTGATAATGTTAAGAGAAAATAAATGTTGATAATGGCTAAAAATATCAGCTGCCAATGTATCAGTCCATCTCTAGTCCAAATGCTTAGATTAAAATTTCTGAAAAGCCATCTTCTTTAGCAATGTCCTCCTGCGACTTGCTTTTCTTGTAAAGGGTATTAATATAAGGATGCTTATCTATTAAAATTTACATGCATCTTTTTCTTTAGGTTATAAGAAACAGCTTTTTGCATTTTCCTGAACATAATGAAAAATTATGAAATACATAACTGTGTATGTCAGGAACCAATATTATATGAGTTTCATTTTTTTGGATTAGAATTGCTGATATAAACTACCTCTTATCCATCACCACCTAAGCAGAGCTATAAAAATCATGAAAATCTATGTCAGGTAAAATATATATAACAGTCTATTTTGAAGGAAAGATAAAAGGTGATGGTTTTTATTCCTTTTTATATAACTGTAAATGTGCTGCTTTCAGCTATATTACATCTATGTGATGTGAAAGGAAAATCTGATATGGTTACACAGTTGCCTGAAATCCGATTTTTTATTTTTTTTTGGCCACATGCTACCTGTATCTGATCTTTTCACGACAGTCTGAACAATACAGATCAGATTTTTTCCAATGCGACCCAAGCCACTTGGCTATGTATTCCTGAATCTGATACGTATATGATCTTTTCAAATGCGACCTGACCACATTCCTCCAACCTGTTCGCTATTAAAACTCAACAAAGGTAAATTTTCTGCGTCTGGAAGCTGGAAGAAAATTAACAACTATGGTAGACAGTAATACGGAGAGCAGTCTTTATTTGTAACCGTCTTGAAGAGATTGTGTTGTTAATGCACTACTGTAGCTGAGGTTGCTAAAGATCGCGGATGCGCTCTAGCACTACCATCCATGTTTACTTCCGTAAACACAGAGCATGCTCACTTGTGACATCATTGCCCCCTCTACTGCACATGCGGGACACTTAAGTTGCATGAATGTAGTTCACGCTGGAGTTCACATACAAGTCGCATATATTTGGAAATGTGAACAACGGCACAAAAAAAAAAATTATTTTACAAAAAAACGGAATTGAGCATTAAGGCCTGCAGTGTAATAGTAGCCTTAGAAAATTCTTTGATGCTGTTATTGTTTCAGATTCTACCAGTTACAGACTGTGTTTGTTTTATAAAACCATTTTTGTTTCCTATTCTATAACTCTAATATATTAAAAAATTGTAATTAAGCTTTGATCAAAATAACAAAAATGCTCTTTTCAGATTAAATTGCACTGTTTGGATTATTTTCATGATAAAACAGATTTTTATTGATGATATTTGCTTTGCTTGTGGCTCATTCTGCACGTGTTGATAATAATAGTGAAAATAAACAAAATTTTGAGATGTTATTATCCCAGAACCCATGCATTCCAACATCACCAAACCAGGATTTTTTAAAGTAGATAAAATAAGTTGGAGCTCAATAGACACTAGAAGTGTATGGCTTCCTAACGAATATTCTCATAGGTTATCCAAAAAATTTCCATTTCTACTACTGAATAGGAGAAATTGTAGAGAACATAAAATTAATTGTTGCTTTCTTTTCCAGGTATTCCAGGGGAACTTTGACAATGACACACACAGAAAGAACGTGATAGATCCCCCAATCTATGCTCGGTTCATTCGGATCCTTCCCTGGTCCTGGTACGGCAGGATCACTTTGCGTGTAGAAATACTGGGCTGCACAGAGCAAGAGTGATGTCTCTCTCCTCTCCATCTTTCTGTCCATAATTCCCAGCTCCTTTGGAAAACCGGAGGAATGAACTGCTCAACATGTAAAAAGAAATTGATTTCCTTTTTTTCCTCAAGAAATAAGTATTGAATAAATGGTAGTGGGGTCTTGTTAGTTCTTTTGTATAATGATTTTAAAACTGCCCCTGTTTCACTTTTGTCTTTCAGTTTCCTACTCAGTTTCCTACTTCTTTGGCTTTTTATGCCTCTTAGAAATGCCATCCTGTTTGAAATAAACTTCTGTAACATATTGGTGGGGGGTTAGTGTCAGAAAAGGGATCTCACTGTGGTTTTACTGTGGAAGCTACTGTACAGTGTCACTTTTTAATCAAGATGTTAAATTTGTCTGTTGTGCATCATAGATCATTATTAACCATCTTGTATTATGAATAAACTGTCTAAGGTATCATGTAAAAATAAAATATAATGAAACATGTTTTTAATTTCTAAACTGTAGCTCACTCAAGCCATGATTTTCCCCAAAGGAACACATCAGTCACAGAACTAATACTCTTGTAATATATGTAAAAGATTAAGAACCTGCATGGTGCGTGAATTATCAATGTATATTTAGACAAATTATGGAAAACCTCCGACCCACAGAGCAAATAGCTTTTAATTAGGGACCTATTTTTATGTGCATTTTTAGATAGCTCTGAAAACATTACTTTAAACGTTGATATACGAATGCTTTATGAGACAATAAGCAAACAAAACAGTCAGATTGTTTTACTGCTTTACGGAAACATACAGCTGTTATTTATTAAATCTGATTTGTTGCCCCCTATTTCTGATTGTAGCTGGTCTTTTTCTAAAATCTTAGATGTTTTGCTTTTTTTTTAATATCACTTTTTTTTTGGATTGTCAGTTGTCATTGTTATGAACTATGTTCTAGTTTCCTCATGTTGTCTTGGAGATCTAAGGTGAACTGATTCAAAAGCTCAGGATAGGAATCATTTGCTATAATCCCACATGTATACCTTAGTGTAAAATGTTTGGCCATCTAAGCTTATGATAAACTTACCATCCACAGAAAATTGCAGATGAATGAAAGAAGCCACTCAAGTCATCAGCATAATGTACATATTTCAAATAATGTTTTTTTATGTTGTTTAATGAAGGTATTATTTACTAATTTGAAAAATGAAACAAATGCAGGCTGTGTTACAAAAATTGTTTAATTTGCTCAGACATGGATTTTTTTAACAGGTATTGCAGGATACCTGAGTATTAAAATTTTGTGTTGTAAACAGTACATGTATGTAACGTAATACTTGGAGGTTCCTAAACTTCGAAGAGTATTACACAGGAGTTACAAATATGTTGTAGTACCAGTCTTTTCAAAACCTTACAGTATACTTCTTTCACACTATTGCTAATTTTCCTTGCATTTCACCAGAGATACGGTACTTTGAATAAGCAGAGATCTGGTGCTGTGGCATAGTCTTAACTCCAAGTGAGAGAGCTGCCACTGATTTCAAAGAAAATTACCGGTATGCCCCATAAGAATTACAATAATTTGCGACAGGGAATTAGTATTAATTATCAATAATTTGCTATACTGTACAGACATTCCTTCCTGTACTAAAGAAGATCAGCAGACTACAGAGAGTAAGACTTTTTTATTAGTTGGGCTAACAAATACTGTTTGTGAAACATTAACATTTTACTCTACAATGGGCAAGCAATCATTAAGTATAATTAAAAAGATAGTTGTTACTGCAAAATGCAACCTCTACTGACACACATCACCTAGTAAATATTTGACCTTTCATCCCAATACACATACACTATAAACAATGGCACTAACTGTACAAAACACAGATATTTCATGGATTGAACAAACTTGTTTGAGAAGGTGCTCTCCATCTCTTTGCGGTTTGACCAGCATAAAGATTTTGAAATGAGTGATAAGTTAAGCAAACATTGGGATATGTAACAGTCTCTGTTTGAAAGCAAGGTGTTGGAGTGTGCAACCCGTGATTGAGGGCACATATACACACACATATATATATATATATATATATATATATATATATATATATATATATATATATATATATATATATATACACTTCATTTTTTCTGTATGTAGTTAATGTGCTTTGGTTTTTACAGTTGAAAAAAAACCCTGTCCACCCTGTTTGAAGCCAAAAATTGGCTTCAAACATTTCTAATTTAAGTTTGTTCTACAACAATAAAGAGCTCACACAGAAAAAAAAACAAAAGTAATTCTTTTTACCATGCCATTTCTTTTAAAGTAAATGCAGCCTAGAAGTTTTTTTTTTTTTTATTATTATTTATGATAAGCTGGAAATTGGAACTGGCGAAGGCATACACAGTATAGAAGCACTTGTGTATGTGGTAAACTAGTGCTCTTCAATGGTCCAGATATAACAATAATTTCTCTTGTAAGTTCAACTAAATGCCTCTGTTGTAGATTACCATTGTGTGAAAATTGTCCTTGATGTGTCTCGGTGTCTACCACTCTGTAGGTTTTTGGGCACAGAATAAACAAATTAACTGTATCTCCCTAATGTTTTTTTTTTTTTTGTCTTCTAAGATTGTGACCCTTAAATGCTTTTTTGCCAAACCACTATTGTGGCCAAGATCTGCACAGATGGATCTTTGTAGTTGGCTCCTTTGGGCATGTATGACAGAGTAGAGCTGCTGCAAAATTTTAAGGTATTTTGCATGATGTACAAATAAAACAGTACAGTATAACAAAGATGTCCACATGGCACATTTTCTTTCTTTATGTATATCTGCAGTATAATTCCTTTTTCTCAACATCTAATGGCAGGTTATCTTGAGAATTGTAAAACTTCATTAAATATTTCAAAAAGGGAAGCAAAGTGAAAAGCCATGCTGTCTTTGTATTTCTGACATCTGTTCACAAAATGTTTCTTTGTCTCCATCTAAAACGGCAACAGTTTTAGATGAAACACTGTTCGTTTTAAGCCTGCATAGATGAGAGGGAGACTCTGTACAGTAAAACAAAAAAAAAAATCTTGCTTCAAAGACACAATCTTTGAGTTTGACAAATAAAACATATGTGTGAAAAAATTTTGACTCTTCTTTTAAACTTGTAACCTACTTTGTTTACCCTTTAGTGCATTAACACAAAGTACTGCCCCCCCAACCTTTTTTAACAATTAAAGACAGAAAAATTAACTGCTTTAAAGTACACATTGCAATAAACTACAATTTCCCTTAAATTACACATCTAGAACCTTTACAGTTTGTTTTCCATAAGTCTGTTTATCGTATTGTCTAAAATAATTCAACATTGAAATCAGTGGAACTTTACTTAAAATCAAATCTCAAAATCTTGACCTTGGGAGTCTCTGCGTTAGGTTATTTAATCATATCTGAACAGTTTGGGTATCTCAAAAATCAGTTTTGGATATCGCAACCCATCTGCTTAAAATTGAGTATTCAACAGCTGTTGACTGAAACACTGCTGTCCACCTAAACCTTGTTCTGACAAAGAGAACACAAATCAGAAAACTTCAGTGGAAACTCAGTCAAAAGGACAACTAATATCTTTTGGGTCAACAAATTTGGCCCTTAAGGAAAAATTACAAGCATGAAGCCATACAATTTTATGCTTACAGTGTTATATTCAATGCAGACCCACAGCACACCACAATATAGCGTTGTTCAATTTTATGCCTCTATTTTATTTGATATTCAATCAAATAAGTTTCAGACTGTCATATGCTGTTCTGTGAACACTCCCATATATGTGTGTTAGGACAACAGATACATGCAGGATTCAAGCTCAAATCATGATCAAACAGGCAAATATGCACATACTGTATGGAATACATCAAAAACTTCCGTTAAACCTTTAAGAATTTATCAACACAATAATTTGGCAAAACATTTGAACCCCAAGTCAAACAAATATCAGTTAAAACTGTGATTATGTATTGATTTATTTTAAAAGGACACTGCATTTATATACTATGCATAGATATTTGACATACTAAAAAATACAAGATTTTAGCTAAGGCATAAAATCTAGGCTTTCAGTTAGATTTTATGTTTATGAATTAAAGTAAAACTTGAAATTTTTGGAATAAAATCAAATTAGCTTTGAAAACTAATTTATAGCAATTTGAATGCTTTCAAACCAACTTAAAATGAAAATCCAAGAGGTTTAACATTGGTAAAATACTTTAATTAAATGAATATCATTTAGCTACATAATTTGTGTGTGGTGTCTGTGGCCCTGCTGCCCTGAAAGGCACTGACCTTATAAAGTAGCAGCCATTCAAAATAGACCTTTCCAGTCAAGCGCCAGCTGTATGGCAGCCGACTCCCCTGCAACGCCCAGCAAAATCCCCTCTATGAACCCAACATGTTTTTTTACTCCCACTCCACCCTTTAAATGAATTGCTGAACTGATTTGTCTGCAAACCTTGAGAGTTTTTGCAAGTGCCTCACCATGGAAAAACCCAGTTGAGCAGACTGATGCTCCATTCTGCCAAATCCGAGCTTACACCTTTCTCCTAGATTATTCCATTTCACCTCTGAGTGCAGGGATCGCAGCCAGCCTCCAATCCTGTGCAAGGATTAGCCTACATCCATCTTACAATTCTTCTACCTTAACATCTCAGTCTCCGAGTGTTGATTTTTTTGCAGATCCCCTCATACATGCCGGCCAGCTTCACGATGGCCAAAAGTGCTGCCGACATTTTCCACCAACTCCAAACAGCAGAAATCCTGTTGTCAAAAATCCAGCTTTGTATGCATCTTCTACATAATTGAATGACATCTTTGTCAGTGATACAATCTTCCATTTCTGCTGGAAATCCATAGTCTATCCGGAGAAAATCTTCCTGTCTGGAAAGGAGGGTTTTCCCTTACCCTGTCTACCCTTTGGAAAAAGTTGATTAATTGTATTGAGAGACCATCCGACCAGATCCACAATTCAGTTTTGGTAGTTTTGAAAGATATATGAAAAGTGGCTCCAAAATTTTTTAAAGAATAAGGTAGTCCTGCCCACAGATATTCAGATACTGTATTTATCATCTACATGGCTGCATTAGAAGCTGTCCAAGAGAAAAGAGAGAGATGGGGGGTGTAAAAGTCTTTATATCTGACTGATCTGCAGGGAATCCAAGATGCCTTTTGAAGCTCCCCCTCTGGTAGTGGGTGTCTTAAGTGGGTTTTGAAACACTATTTCTTAATCCTCCATTCAGGATCCATTAATGTGCAATATTCCACCAACGTAAATATTTATTTCATATCTGTCTGGCCCAGCAACAGAGTGGTTGCTTGTTTAATATCTCTAATGCAAGGCACGTTCAACTAATCAGTGTTGCAGGACACATAAGGACACCTGTAGTGGATCATATACTTAATTGATTGAACATGGTAAAGCTTAAATTTGCACCATAATTGACTGGTAGAAAGCTTTGAAATGTAAGATAAAAGGTATATGCTGATGCCATCAATAAATCCAGGGAAAGGGTATGGAAAGCCATCTCTTATGTGTATGTACATTGTCAGCTTTTTTTAATTTAAACAGTGTCAATAATTTTTAAGATTCTATTTGAAGTTTTAGTCCTACAAACTGATTTTAATTAAGATTTAGTCAGATTGTTGTTAGTAAGAATCTTGTTTGGATAAAAAGAAAAGGACAAAATATAACAATCCAAGAAATTAACACTTTCTTTTCCCACATTTAATTTTTGTAGTAGTAACACCAGCAGTAAGAAAAACACACCTGGCAACAGGTGAAAACATAGTACAAAAACCTAATTTAAGATGGTAAGCTCTGATTGATTATGCTATTTTTATTTCAACAAGGAGACAAAAAGATTCAGGCATCTGAAATCTGGGCCAGATTTTCAGGATCAAACAACTATTCATGTTGCAGCTGGAAAAAAAAGCAATATAACATAGATTGGGGGTTGACTTTACACCACCACTGACAATGAAGTGAGGCCTAACAAGAATGTATGGGAACCAGTGTATGATTTGAGCTGTTCTGAGGGAGAGCTGAGGTTCATTTTACATACTCAACTTAATTAACCCTTCTCTAGAAATTGGTAATGATCATGCAGATATGTGTCAGGGAGGACGAAAGGGTCATTTCTATCCCTGAAGAAATGTGATGCTCTAGAGCTCTCCTTAAAACAGCTCCCCCTCCACGACATGCTCTATAAAGGCCATCTCTGACTCACACATGAGTGTGAAGATACCTTTTCTGGGCTAGGAGAAAGCTCTTTTCAGCAAAAGAAGACAAGACTATATGATATTTTTCTATACAACATTTATATATTAAATGTTTCTGTATATATTGGTGTATATTAAATTGCATAAAATTCGTTTTGTAATGTGTTGCTAAAATTTGGACCAAATGATCCTGGAAATGAGAAAGAAATAAAAAGAAGGCAATGAAAAAAATATATATAAAAAAGGGACAGGCCCTTCAGGCAGATGCTAAAAAACATGTAAGTTAACACAGATGTTTGCTTGTGGTTATGGTTGAGTATCCACTTAAATAGCATTATCCGAAGAAGCGGCTGCATGTGGGAGGAAGACGGCAGCAGGAGAACGAGCGAACTGTGACAGCCATCAAAATGTTTGTGGGGAAATCTGGACTTCCATAATAAGTAGAGTTTACATGAGTCAAACAAAACAACAGGTTTGGATGTAGTTTATTTTTGTTATGCTTTCAAATTCTTATCAGTTAGTAGTTAGATGAAGGCTGTTCAACAATTTTGTTTTATGACATTATACTAGTGATAAGGGAGTAACTTAATGGGACAGCAGCTTCTCTGGCAGGAACAGCCAAAAATCATCAGGAATCTGAGACGCAGGGGCAACTTTCCAACTGCAGCATGACTAGCCATCTGAGTGTTCCATACAGCCATATCAAGGTACAACATTAAGAGGCTGCAAAAGACTTAAAAATGGAGTGAAGGTTAACTTTTCAGCGGGCGACAGATCTAAAATAGAAGCGTAACTGTAATGAAATGATTTA